GAAGGGGAGAATTGTAACAACCCGAAAAAAAATATATTTAAATCGGTGTAATTTGGTGAAATTTGGTGACTAAATTAAAAGTTTTCAAAACTTATAGGCCATTTTAGAAGTTAAAAAAAATTCAATGACCAAGCCCTGCATTATACCTTTGAGTGTCGGCAGGCTTTTCTTTTAAAGGAAATGAATTGGTTTCTGCATGAAAACACAGAAAACCAATTCCTAAAATTTCCTTTCCAGAAACCTTCTTTAAAGTCTAATTCCGACGCCGTTTGAGCTCCAATCGTAAAATTGAAACCACCCGTGAACAAAACCCAGTAAAACAATTTTAGCGAAACGCTGCCAAACGCCGTGAATTTCGAGTCAAAGTATTGACTTTTTTTTAGCACCACCGCGGGGAAAATCTTAAATTCATCTCCAATCGTTGATCGGTTTTCGACACCTCCCGCACCATCATGTTCCTGGTGTCGTTCCGAGTCCGACGGTGTCGTCCTTGTCTCCGTGGGCGGCGGCGCGTGAGGGAGGTAGAGCGGTCAAAGTTTCGATCAAATTGAAATCGAGCTCTCCACTGTTCAAAAATTTGAACCGAGGTTGGTAAGTGACTCAAAAATCGCTTAAAATAATTTTTGGAAATTTTTGCAGGAATTTTTGGATACCGGAGGACAGCTCATGCACCGCCCCTGCACGTGGGGAAGATTTTAAATGGGGTTTATTATAGTTAACCGGCTTGATCGGTCCGAACCGGTCTGACCCGACCCGACCGGTGACCCGACCCGGTGACATTTTGGGAATTATTTTGAAAAAGGTGACATTTTGAGAATTATTTTGAAAAAGGTGACATTTTGGGAATTATTTTGAAAAAGCTGACATTCTTGGAATTATTTTGAAAAAGGTGACATTCTGGGAATTATTTTGAAAAAAATGTGACATTTTGGGAATTTTTGAATGTGGAATATTTAACCCCTTTGACCATAACTTTGACCGGCTTTAAACCGCCATTAAACGACCTTTGATTTTGTTCGAGTATACCTATTCTGAAATTTTTCGACGTGCCGAATCCGTTTCCGAAGTCCGTTTTTCCAAATTCGAACCCAGAGGCCTCCAAATCATCAGTCAAACCCGTTGACTTTGATTTTGACCAAGAATTTGAATTTTCGAAAAGTCATACTTTATGTTGTTCGACGCCCTGATTCCGATTCTGCAATCCATTTGGTCAAAATCAGACTCGAAATCCTCCAAATTGATAGTCAAACCCAAAAAATGCTTATATACTTTTTTAGCTTTGATCAATTAAGTAAGACTTGGGGTTGATAAATTATTATTGTTTGAAGGTACAAGAGACTCTCCGGATCGTTCGACAGCTCGACCCAGCTCTTCTAGATCAGTTAAACCACGTGTGCCAGTATTCACCCGTATGACCCGTAAATTTTATGATTTTAGAGATTAATTATGTTACCCATTAGTAATATAGTGTTATTATAAATTAGGTTCGAAAACTGTAGCAGAGCGTGGTGAGACCAGTAATCCATAGATCTACTACTTGAATCTATTATCGAGGTGTGTTCCCTATTTTATTACTGAACTGTTTTATTTGTTTTAATATGTGGTACACTGAATTCTTTGGTTACTGTTTTATTGATGCACCGATTTAATGTGATGGTTTATGGATTATGACTGCTATCTGATTTTGTTTTGAAATGGTATATGATTACCATGTTTATGGATTTATGGAATTTTTGTCACGGTGCAATTGAATTTTTGCAATACGAATTTATAAAGTACATCTCTGATCAAGCTGGAAAATTTTACGGACCTAATGTGACTCTTAGGTAGGCTCTGCGGCCCTGAGATCATTCTCGGGTAGGCCCTGCGGCCCTAAGATATGTTCTTAGGTAGGCTCCACGGCCCCGAAATCTATCTTGGGTAGGCTCTCAGGCCCTAAGATGTTCCCTTAGGGTAACTCTTTTATGGGATTTACTGCAATATAATTTTATGAGATTTACTGGACTATGATTTGTTTAGTGTACCTATCATGATTTTATAGTAATGTTGGGACACACTGAGCCTAGTTCACTTTCCGAAAATGTTTTCCCCTTTCAGATATTGTTGGTTAGATTCACTTGATTGAGCACTTGGAGGATCAACATATCTCTTGAAGTATATCGTATTGTAATGTTTTATTTTTAAGTTGACACTATTTTGGTAACATAGGCCTTATTTTAAAGTATTGGATTTTATAATGATTTCTCCTTTGCTATTTATATTTGGGTTATCGTAAATTGGGATTTTTAAGACATGTTTAAATTAATTTGTTTTTTTCTTCATTATATTTATGAGATGTATTTTTATAGTATAGATTATTATAATTTCATAAACGTCATTTATAATGTGATTTTACTATGATTGAATAATGGTTTCGGAACAATATCTTTAAGAATCATGAATGTGATTCACTAGACTTAGTCGAAACGCATAGACCGGGTCTAGGGGGTTACAAACGATGTAATTTAACAAAAAAGTGCAACCTACAATAATATCGTTAAGTTTTTAACGATGAGGTATTAAAACGAAACAAAATATAAATGTTAGGTATGATTTTGAAAAAATAAAATCTAGGAACCAAAATAAAAAATAAAAAATTATGTTGTAGTTTACCCAATAAATGCCTATTTTGGTATTTTTTTCTTTAATTAATCTAGGGTAAGTAGAATGTTGTGTTTATTCAAAGATAACTCTCAACTATTTGAGATTGAATTCTCACACCCATAATATTCCTAGTACTAGAAACTTGTGACCTCAAAAAATAATAATCATCATTTTACCACTGAGGTCACTCGATTTGTGCACGTCGATTAATTTCAGTAGTGGATAATAGGGATTTTAATCAGTTAATCTGGTTACTAATTGAATCCAATTAGCTAAAATTGAATTAATTAATTTTTTAAACCATGATTTAAATCAATTTTTTAAAATATTAAACCAACCAAATAAAAGTTTATTAATTCGATCAATTTTCGAATTAACCAAAAAATTTTTTGTAATTCTCTTGGTTAGATTAATTTGAATTTAATAGAGGTATTTTTATTTTTGTTAAAATTTGATTAAGTTTTGATTGTTTAATGGTTGTAATGTAGGGGTGTTCAAAAAACCCGGAACTATTAACTGTAACTGTTAACCAATATAATTGTTACATTTAACAGGTTAATTATCCGAACCTTTAATATTAACAATTTTGGTTAATCGAACTGCTAAAAATGATGGTTAACGGTTAAGGTTACAAGTTTTGATAAACGATTAACCAACGGTTAACCGTTAAGAAATTAAATTTATAAATATATTTCTAAATTATTATATTTTTACACAAATAACTTAATATAGTTTTCTATTATTTATAATTTATATATATTTTTTATAAAATTTGTATACAAATAATTTAATATATATATATTATCATTTTTTTAATTTGTTTTTTGAAAATATAGAAATATTCTTACACCAATATAATTATGTGTTTATTGTTAGGTACTAAGATATTTGGAGATGTACATAATTATACTGATGTAAGTATGCGTTAAGTGCTACACTTTTTTTATTTTATTTACTTACATCGGTGTAAGTATGTGTTAAGTTATATATACTATTTGTAGTTTGAATTATGAAAAAAATTTGATAAATAATTGTAATAGGTTAACCTACAGTTAACATGTAATCTAACCGTTTAAGAAACGGTTAACCGTCCATTAGCGATTAATTGTTCCTTAATGGTTGGGTTACAGTTAGAAAAATCTCATAACCATCCATGAACATTCCTGGTGTAATGTAATTAAAAATAGTTGGATCTTAATTCTTAATGAGTTTAAGTTTAAAATATATGCATAATATATTTAATATTCCTGTTTAATTTAATCAATTAATCTATTTTGAACTGAATTAACTCGTAACTGAATTTTAAAATTTTTTCTTAATCGTTAGCTGATCTAATATATAGTTACTCTATCAATTAAACAAACAAATTTTTAATTTAATCGATTAATTCAGTTATAATCAAACAATGAACCCCACGATGGGTAGCCCACGTTTGATAAGAAGAACATACTTATTTTGGCATCAATCCAACGTCCAACAACTCAGATTATAAGTGATGACAACTGGGGTTTCTTTGATTCAGAAATAAATGTTTTTTTTGGATTTTGTTATTGAAATGAACTAAAAAAATAAATAAGAGAAAGGCATTGTTTAGAATTAAAATTGGAATTTTGTTTAAAGTTCAGGTTTAAATTATAAATTAATTATTTTTAACGTGCCACATTTATTGAGATAATGATATTTAACGGTCCAATGATCGAACTACTATAAATTGATAACATAAATGATCAAAACATAATTTTTTAATATCAATGACAAAAGATAAACAAAACTGAAATATAAGTGATTGTTCTTATAATTTACCAAATTTTAATTAAATAAACTTCAATTATAACTGTAGCCCCCAACATGCGTGTGAGACACTTGCAGGAACTGCCTAACATACACTAATGCTTGATCTTATTTTCTAGGATCTAGTTTCTTTTGTGAAATATCTAAAACTTTATTAATTAGATTATATCCCATTAATTAAAAGAATTATGCATAATATATACTTTTTATATGAATGGTGGTTTTAAATTTTAAGTGAAAAAAGGGTTTTTTAAGTGATTTTATTTTTGGAAGGGAAAAAAAGGAAAACTGATTCTTTATGGACATAAGTTTTTTTTCAAAAAAAAAAAAATAATAATAATAATAATAATAAAGAGATTTATGAAAAAAATGTTCAACTACATATTAATGGCTCCCTAGATGTTAGCTTAGCTTATTTAAGGAATAGTAAAGAAATTTTAATGAGCTACATGCATTTACTAGCATGGGCCACGTTTTGAATTTCAAGCTTTTAACTTTGCTTTAATATTTTCCCCAGATTCAAAAGCCTGCAAAATTTTCTTCCAGGAAGAAAGAGTTCAAAATCAATGGAACAATCTGCAAGCAGTTCAGCAGCCATGAATAGTGACCGCAAGTCTCGCCATAGATGCAGAAACATCTGTTTTGCAACCATGGGTGTTTTATTATTCTTAATAATCCTTATAATAATTTTAATTTTCACGGTCTTCAAGCCCAAAACACCCACTACAACGATCAACTCGGTCACCTTAGCCAACCTGAAGTTTTCCCTGGATTTGACGAAGCTCCAGGCGCTGTTCAACGCCACCCTGGACGTGGATCTCTCGATCAAGAACTCGAACAAAGTGGGTTTCAAGTACGCCGACTCGACCGCTTATTTGAATTACAGGGACCGGAAAGTAGGCGAAGCCGCAATTCCAGCCGGTAAGATTTCTGCAGATGATACGGCTGCAATGAATCTGACGGTGACGATCATGGCGGATCGGTTCATATCGGATTCAAAATTTTTTGGTGATGTTGCGGGTGGTGAACTGCCTTTGAACACTTTTGCAGCGGTTTCAGGCAAGGTTAATGTATTGAATCTGTTTAAGATCCATGTTGTTTCTACAGCTTCATGCGATGTCATTGTCTTTTTGTCAAATTCAACTGTTGGAGACCAAAACTGCAAATATAACTATAAGTTGTAATATTTTCATTTTTTTTAATTTTATTTACTGTTTTGCAGCAGCTCGCTTTGTACTTTATAGTTGTACTTTTGTTCTTTACTTTTAAACTTTTTCTGTTTTCTCTATTAAATTTTTTCTTAATAGAGATGTTATATATCATATGTACTTTTTAATGGAAGATTAAATTCGAGGTCTAATACAATTTAGTATATTATATTATTTTCACAAATATGTTACGATATTATATTATTTTCTTTAGCCAACGATTCAATATATTCTAATTGGTATTCTGATTGATTATTGTGACCATTGTTGGAAAAGAAAATGCTTCTCAATTACAGCTGACTGTTATGATTTTAATTTTACATAAATCAAACAACAACTAAATATTTAGCTGTTACCTCTAAAAATTTGAATCGAAACAGGTCACTGAGCAACCTATAAATATCATAGTAAAATTCTTTCACATTCTTTGTTTGCCAAGAAAATTCTTTTGAATTTTTTCCAAAAAAATAATACGTGTACAGAAGTGTCAATGACACAATTACCACATCCATGAGCTGAGCCAAATGAGCGACGATGGTAACAAAGCGCGAGATAGTCCCTTGTTCTCTATAACTCAACAAGGGGAAAGAATGAACACTATAAATACCCTTGCAAATGGTATTTCCCACTCAATGTGAGATAGTGTCTAAAGCATTACAAACAGCAACATGCAAGCATTATTCTAAGTATTTAGCTCTCTCAGACCCAAACCCCTCACTCTTTGGCTTACACACTCGTTCCCAACTAACCTTAGCTGTACGGGCTTGCTTATCACAACCCTTCCAAAAGAAGCGCGAACAAAGCTGTGCCATCCTTCTGAGCTCTGCCTTAGGGTAAACAAAGTGCTTACATCAATAGGCTTAAATGTTATACAAAATACTTTGAAGAAGTTGTAGTCGACCAGCATACGAAAGTACTCTAGCCACCCAGCTATTCACCCGAGACATGACCTTCTTCAATAACAGGATATAATCATTCTCACACAGTCTCTAAGAAACAAGGGGAACCCCTAAATATTAAACAAGAAGAATGCCAAACTTGAAACCAGAAATTTCTCGAACCTGCTAAAGCTCATTCTCTCCCATACCAGTAGAGAAAATTTCAATTTTGAGAGAATTCAGCTGAAGCCCAGTGTACAAATAAAATTTCTGCAAAACACATAAGATTCTAACCACATAATCTACATTTCCTTTTGAGAAAATCAATAAGTCGTCAACAAAACCCAAATGCATAATACCAACCCTCTTAAACTTTGGATGGTATTGAAAAAACACCCTTAACAGCCACATCCAGAAGCTTATATAGGATGTTCATAACCAACACAAAGAGGTAAGGGGATAATAGATCCCCTTGCCTCACCCCTCGAGCTCCCCAAAAGAAACCTTCCAAGTCTCCATTTACATTTACTGAAAATCTAGAAGTGTTAATGTAGTTCCAAATCCAGCTTATAAACCTAGTTGGAAAACTATAAGCCTACAACACCCTCAATATCGTTTCCCAATTAATGGAATCAAATGCTTTTTGCAAATCAACCTTGATTTCACACTGGGCAAACAACGACCTCATGCCATATCCTCAAACAAATTCTTGAGCAAGAAGGATATTATCTGTGATACTTCTACCTTGCACAAAAGTCGACTGATTCATAAAAACTATCACAGGTATTCATTTAGTTATGTGAGCCACCATGATTTTCATTATACATTTATACAAAACCTAACAACAAGAAATATATATGAATTCTTTAACAGTGCTAGGACTCTTATTCTTTGGAATCAATGTGATGGTTGTAGCATTCAAGCTCCTCAACGGCTCAAAACTATTAAAAAAAATAGAGAACAACCTCCACTACATCCTCTCCCACAATGTCCCAACATTTAAAAAAAATAAAGTTGTATAACCATCAGGGTCAGGTTCTTTCTCACCATTCAAGGAAAACATAGAATCTTTCACCCCTTCCTTTATAACCTCACGCCCTAAATCCTCCCTAGCCTCGTCCATCAATCCCCTTCCAAACAACTCCTTTAAGAGATGAATCGAAGAAGCTTCAACATTAGTGTCAATGCTCCCCATCATTCGTTGAAAATAAGAGACAATTTCCTTAGATTTTTTTGCCTGCCCTCAAGTCGCTCACCATCATCATTAAACAAGACCTGATAGTATCCATAGTATTCCGAATCTTAAATATACGATAAACGAAACTCGTATTTTGATCATCCTCCTTTATCCACTGAATTTGAGACTTCTGTCTAAAGAAACCCTCCTCCATAGATAACAAAACCTTAAACTCCTTATAAAGGGTAAACACATTCTCCCCATCTTCCAACGAGGTAAAATGTCACAAATTCAACAGCTGTAAAGATTCATACTCCCTCCTCTTTTTAAAAACACGAGACTGTAAATCACCATAACAAACAAAATTCATTTGCCTTAAAACAACCTTCAAACACTTAAGCTTTTGAAAAAGTCTAACCAAAGGAGTGCCATATGGAATATCCTCATTCAACAAACACTACAACAAAATAGAGTTTTAGCGGCATTTTTTAGTCTTATAGCGCGTTTTTAAGCGCCGCTAAAAGTATTTGCGGCGATAGGAAAAACGCCGCAAGAAGCGCCGGTAATACCAGCACCGCTAAAGTTAGCGGCGTTTGAGAACAAAAAACGCCGCAATAGGTCAATATCTATTACGGCGTTTTTTGAACAAACGCTGCAAAAGGTCGATATCTATAGCGGCACTTTTGGAATAAATGCCGCAAAAAGTTATGATATATAGCGGCGTTTCTAGAAAAAACGCCGCAAAAGGTCAGATCTATAGCGGCATTTTTGGATACAAACGCCGCAAAAGAGAAGACCTATACTGGCGTTTTTAGAACAAACGCCGCAAAAGGTTAAACCTATAGCGGCGTTTTTTGGACACAAACGCCGCAAAAGGTTAGACATATAACGGCGTTTTTGAACACAAACACCGCAAAAAGTCAGACCTATAGCGGCGTTTTTGGATACAAACACCGCTAATTACCTTTCTTTAGCTAATTTTAATTGATTTTGCATATTTCATTTCTGCTATACATCACCTAAATTTATATCTAGCTTTATCTAATTAACAACAACCATACATTTTAATTAAGACAAAAAACATAAAGAAAAATACTTAACAACAAAATAAATTAAAGTTTTTTTATGGAGAGAGAACCTTAAAAGACATTAAAGTACAAATGAGTTACAACTGAACCTCAAAGTGTAGATATACATGGATTTGTTGTTCGATACATCCTCAATTTCACTAGCGTCATCATCATAACCTCCAGATATGCCTTCTAAAGCTACTTTGTTTCACACTTCATTGGAATTTGTCATATTCATCGTCTTGACATCTTATTTGAAAGTATCATTTGACAGTGAATGATCTCTCCTCAATAGATTAAAAACAAATGGGAAACGTTGTGCCAGTCTATTGAAGAAGCCGCTTTTTGTTGAAGTTTGTTCTTCAAGATTACTGCAATTACAATAATTTAGATGAGACTAAGAAGAGAAGGAAACAACCAGCAGAACTTGCATTCATAACATACATGTGAGTGATTGAGAACTGAAAAAAGATGTTGCAACAAACAACAAAAACAGGAAGTCAGGAACCATGAAAACTAAAATATATTCTACATAAGAATGTAAAAAATGTCATCATAAAGAAAAAATTTAATAATGTATTGGTTGCCATCTTACTTTTAGAAGTTAGAATTCTTACCCTAAGAATCTGAGCTAGTTTGTATTCTTAGAAAAGTTAAGGAAATACAAAAGAGGGATAAGCAATGAAATCTTATAATTTTGGATCAAGAAAGCATGCATGTCTAAGTCCCTCAAAGTTCATAGGGAAAACCCTAGTAGGTTCAATCATTTCAAGATTGCTTCATGTGCCTTTTGATCCTATTCACGATCAGTAAAATAAACAAATGAATCAAGGAACATATATTTCCAGTTATAACTTTGTACTATAAGAATTTTAGACGATAAAAAGAACTCAAAAAGTGAACTACTTACTCTTAGTAGTAAAGGAATGTGCCAAATATTTGGAACGTCATAGAGAGTGACAATATTTTCGACCTAGAAAGAAGTCAACTTTATTTTCAACACTGCTACTTATTTTCTTTCCTACACCTATCTCTTTTTGCTTTTGCAGGAGCTTCACAGACTTTCGGAGCTTCAGTGGTACCATGACTTTTCACACTAACATCAGCAGCATTCAACTCTTCTACGACAATGTTTTCATTTCTTTTTCTTGAATCTTCTACACTTATTGCAGATTCATCTTGCTCCTTACCATTTATGATTGCACTGACTGAATCCTTAGTATCATTGCTCACTAAGTCCACAGAATCCCCTCCCTTGTATTTCTTAGTGACAAACCTTCTATATACATTCATTTTATCCACCCTAATATCATTCTTTGTGCTTTCTTCTTTATCAGAACTTTTCAGCGTCCTAGGACAACCATCGGTAAGATTTTCAGCAGTTACTATATCTAAACCAATATCACAAACATAATTCTCCTCTGAAAGTCTGATTGGATTTACTGCAATTACAAAATCATCAGAAAGCAGATCTTCTGAAAGTGCTGCAGATGCATGATGCAAAACACTAGCATTATCACCTTGAACCCGACATCCTAGAACCCGATCAACCTGTGAAGCAGAAAAGTGTGAAATTTGGGGAAAAAGGCCAGTGATCAACCACAAAAGTAAAAAGTCTATAACCAATACAGATAAGTGAACTAACCAGCAGAAGTTCAGTAGGAACACTGTCTTCAGATATCTGCGGAGCATTGAGAGTACCTTTATCCAACTCAACAAACAGGTGTACAGCAGCCTCAGGAAGCCTCTGCTCAAGAAATTAGCAAGATTCGATTAATCAGCAGAAAGAATTCCAAGAGTAGTCACAATGATGTGATCACATCAGCAATGAGAAACACTCACTTATGAAGA